CTTGTTACATCTTACCAGCCACAAAAAGATTCATTAATGCTGACTGTTTCCTGTTAGCCAGCTAATCTATCCATGCCAATATGTGACCCATATACACAAACAACATGAGTGTATATTGCCAATGTGTTTGAGTATACACAGATGGGGTGTGGTATGTGCTTAGTGTGAATGTACATGGCCAGTGTGAGTGGCAACATATATGGTCAGTAGTGTACACTGTCAGTGCAAATTTGAGTGTACACAGTCAGTGAGAATCTACTGTAAAACTGTGTCTTTTTATTTTTCTGTATTTTTTAAATTGTGGACTGAAATGGGAAAAGAATTGTTTTAAAACCAGAAGGGTTACTGCATGTCTTGAAACTGAATAATCTGACCCTCACTGTAAGCACTATTTACAAAGCTGCTGGTTCAAGTAGTAGTAGGAGAACATGCAGACAAGCTGGAGCAAAAAGGTGCAAATAATTAGAGATTCAACTGGCAACATGGAGCTGATTATTCATTGAACCTAGTGACCAATTATCAATGTCAAAAGACCTTCTGCCTGCCAACAACCATGTGATTGGTCCTGAGATAACTGAACAGGTTGGGCCTATAAACAAGTTAGTGACAAGCCATCAGACTTCAAACAGCTCAGGAACTCTCTCTGTTCTCTGCAGTAAAAGCTACTTTAAGCCTGGCCTGTATTTTCTGTCAACTTACATATGAAAGTCAGATAAATTGGGGGACTATGAGTACATTTTAAAATTTAACTTCGGTGACCACTCTGGGAATAGCTGGTCTTGAAGTATGCTAACCCAGTAAGTCACAACAGTACACTGTGCGAATGTCAATGTATGCAGCCAGTGTGATTGTGAATGAGACAATACCTTTGCAGGTCCGATTATCTGAATGAAGGATATAGCTGAATCTGCAGGAGCAGTAAAATCCACCGATGAAATTGTGACAGAAATGGTCACAGACCAATGCTTCATCCAACTTCTCCACACACTCATCGATATCTATAAAGAAAAAGGCAATTCATGACCTCATCCTATACCAGGTACTCCAGTGACCAGTAAAATAACCACTGGCTGGACAAACACCACTGGACAGGAGAAACTAGTGATCAATCACTGATCCTGTCTCTTATCCCTTCACTAGTGTCTCTACGCTAATGATGTGACCTTGCACTTTCCTTTCACGGCAACTTCTCCAACTCTTTTTTCCCCCCCAATATATTCAGTCTATCATCAGCATCAATGTTTGAAGTAAACTTTTCTTCTTTTATCTCAATCTGTGCTGAATGAATCACAGAGTCATAGCCGGCTACAGCACAGAAAATGACCCTTCGCCATATTGAGTCCACACTGATTAAAAACAGCCACCTAACTATTCTAACCCCACTTTCTAGCAATTGGTCTACAGCCTTGTATGCCTTGACATAGCAAATGTACATTCAAATACTATTTCTCATTCTTGGCATATTCCATGTCCTCCACAGCATCCCTGTCCTCTCAACCCCATGATCATGGGCTTAATCATTCACCAGGCTCTCTTTGTCCCTCACACTCTGTCTATCTCTTCCTCTCTCCCTCCCCCTTCTCTATCTCTTTCTCTCTTTATCTCTCACGTTCTATCCCTCTCTCAATAAATGTTATATTTTTTGTTGAAAAATGCACATTTGTCAGAGCTTTCCATCTTGCCATCTTCATGATAAATTTGCAAGAACTTGTAAAAATTCAGGGAGTAAGAATATTTGTCCAGTATGAGAGAAGAATGCTGACTGGTTGGCAAGTGCATTGTAATTGCTACCTGTGTAGCTATCTTTGACACTGCTTGACTATTAACAGGTAGGATTTGCTTAGCACACCGCACAAATCATGGTGATTTAGACTCACCATCATTGTGTGAATCAGTATTCACTGAATTTATGAATTTGGTAACTTGCACAGTTGAGTTCAGTTTCAATGACAGCATGTATGCCCAAATTGATGGTGTTGCCATGGGATTTTCACTAGACTCAGTGACGGAGCCATCCTTACAAATACTGTCCCCAGTGTTAAGCAGTGACAGACCTGTCCCAACAAGTACTATAACCCAGTGCTTGATAGTGATAGCCACATTCCCAATAGTACTGTGCTTGTGTTATACAGTGGCAGTCCTATCCCCATTAGTACTACATCCCAGTGTTATACAGTGACAGACCTGTGCCCACTAGTACTGTACCCCAGTGTTATGCAGGGACAGACCTGTGCCCACTAGTACTGTACCCCAGTGTTATGCAGGGACAGACCTGCCCATCCGTACTATACCGCAGTTTAAACAGTGACAGTCCTATCCCAGTGTTCAATCACTCTGTTGAACCACAGTCAGTTTAAAGGGAGAAGTTCTGAACATTTCTAGGTGGCTTACTTTCTCAAAGTAATAATGATGAGAATTATTTCTGATGGAAGTTCCTATACTCACCTCATAATGCAGCCTGCGTTACTGGGGATTAGTCAGTTCTAGGGTTCCTCGCTGCACTGCCTCCCCTGGTTAATATCCCTCCATGCCTTGGTGACTCATCCTCATCCTCTGCTCCTTCAGCCCATCAATTAGATCCGACATTCGCAGACTGACAGGAAGCAAAGGGTTCTGTTTGATGGGCGATTTGGTGGCCGGTAGGCCATTTTCAGTGGGATTCTGCAGGGTTCCGCAGTATTGGGCCCTTTGCTGTTTGTGATATATATTACCTGTTTAGACTTTAATATGGGAAGTTTTGCAGATGGCACAAGAATTGGCCCTGTGGTTGATAATGAAAGGGGTTGCTGTAGATGCAGGAAGGCATCAATGGATTGGTCAGCTAGACAGAAAAGTGGCAAGTGAAATTCAAACCAAAGACTGTGAGGTGATGGATTTGGGAAGAACAAATAAGGCAAGGGAATTGACAATATATACAATATATAGGGTATATTATATATGTAATACATGATATATAATATACACAGCGATAAGAAGCAGAGACAATCAGAGAGATCTTGAAACTTGTCCATCAGACCCTTCAAGTAACACAAAGGTAGATACAGTGCTCACAATGGATATGGAAGACTTTAGTGGCCAAAAGCTATTGTACATGAGCAAGCTGACTGAAGTTTGAGAATTTGGTACAGTCTGGTCACCACATCACAGGAAGAATGTGATCACATCACGGGGTGTCACCAGAAATGGACAGTTTTAGCCAGGAAGAAGGATCGGATCAGCTGGGTCTGGTTCCTTTACAACAGTGGAAGCTGAAGCCACATGTAACTGATGTATAAAAAAAAAGCTGAGAAAGAGTGCTGAGAAAAGACTCACCTCAGCAGAAAGGTCAATCACCAGTGGTAAAGTAACTTAAAACAATTGGCAGAAGTATTAAAGGGAAGTTAAGGAGTTTTCTTTTCACTCAGAGGCTGGTGGGGATCTGGGGCTCACTGCTTTACAGGGTGTTAACGACAGAAACCCCTCAACCTATTCCATAAATATTTGGGCATGCCCTTAAAGTGCTGGTATTGACAGGGAAACAGATTGAGAGTGGGAAGATTTGATTTTAATTCATACATGAGATATGGGCATCATTTATTGCCCATCCCTAATTGTTTAGACAGCAGTTAAGAGTCAACCACATTGCTGTGGGTCTGGAGTCACATGTAGGCCAGACCAGGTAAGATGGCAGTTCCTTCCCTAAGGGACATTAGTGATCCAGATGGGTTTTTGCCCGACAATGGACAATGGGTCATGATTAGACTCTTAATTACAGTTTTTTTTATATTTGAACTCAAAGTCCACCGTCCACCATAGTCGGATTTGAACTTGCATCCCCAGAGCATTAATTAATTAGTCGAGTGATAATACCATAAGGACATTGCAATCACTGACGAGATGGGATAGATATGACTGCTCTTTCTTGGCCAGGCTGGATGAAATAGGTAAATTACATCCTTCTGAGCTGTAAATATTTCTTTATTTCTGGTCTTCTGCTGAGGGGCCTAGATGAGGTGACACCATTGACTGTTAAATCTTCTTATGCCAGAACAATCAGAGCAGGAACTGAGCAGTGTGCAGCAGAGAGCTGCTCCTGCTTTGAGGTTGGGGGATGAATTCCCACCTTGTGAGTTCCTGTTTAGGAGGTGCTCCATTTAACTGCCTTTAACTTGCTTCTTTTACCCTTCAACTCTTGCCACCATCCCCAACTGGCTCCCCTGACCTCTGGCCCTTCAGCAGCATCTGTCTTAGGAGCTGGGGTAATGGAGCGTTTGAATTCCCTGCTAATTTCAAATTGTGTTCCATGCTTGTAGGTAAAGAGGTAAAGAACAGGGTAAATAAATTCAACCAAGTCAGGCTTCCATTCAGACAGGGCCTGGGACCCACAGCCACAATTCCCATATCTCAGCGTCACACTAGATTGTCACTGCAACCCTCCTTAGTCAGGGCCACAAGACCAGAACCATTCCTTGTCAGGGAAGAATTTAATGCCCTCCCCTGGGGCAAATTTGGAGTTAGTGGGGGCTTCTTATCACACAAGAAGCCCTGTTTCCCCCTCAAATAAGTCTGAAGTGGGAAAGCAAGTGAACAGCTTCCTGAGGCCTTTAAGTGGGTAATTAATGCTGCAGCCACCCATGTTCATACAATCCGTACAGTGCAGGTGGGAGCCATTCAGCCCATCGAATCTGTACTGACCATCTGAAGGGCAGCTCACCCAGACCTACCCACAACACTATCCCTTAACCCCATATTCACCATGGCTAATCCAACTAGCCTACACATCCCTGGACATTACAGACAATTTTAGCACTGCCAGTCCACCTAACCTGCATATTTTTGGACTGTGGGAGGAAACTGGAGCACCTAGCACAAACCCACGCAGAGATGGGGGAGAATGTGCCAACTCCACACAGACAGTCACCGAAGGCTGGAACCGAACCCGGTGAGGCAGCACTGTGAGGCAGCACTGCTAACCACTGTGCCACTGTGCCCTCATTCACCCAGTAGTTGGTGGGGGTAAAACAGGAGCCTTCCCACTCCCAAACTAACAGGGGTGAAGACTGCAAGCTGGTAGAATCTTCACTTGTGATTGTCCTGACTAAATGACCCCTGCCACTAAACCAGCCATGGAGGGGTCACAAGATTCCACCTACTGTTTGATACTCATACTATGGGATCAATACTCTGAACAAAAGACTATAAAGCTACTTACCGATGGCAGAATAATGAGCTTCAAAGCCAGTGAATCGTTCCTCGTTGGAAAAATCTGTCTTGAATGTAACAGTCATGGTGTTGCTCTTTGTTAAGACAAACTCTTGGCCAGGGATTCGTTCAGTGTCTGTACTCTCTCTGCCACAAAATGTTTCCAGCAAATCATCAGACACGACCTAGAATCAAAAGAGAGGTTTTAGCACCATGGACAAGGAATGGAGAGATCCTATTGCTCATTCTTGGGTTCCATTCTTTACACTCAGCTTGTTAATCCAAACCCTCTTACAACCCTTTAATTTTTAGTACGCAATCTCCTTGATGACTCTCTGTCCAAATGTTTCCCTCTGCTGAGTCTGACTCAACCCAGGCTGTTTCCAAGGCAAACATTATGTCAAGTATCAAAATATGACAGGCTCTCTGAGCACAATGAATCAGAGATCATGTAACAGCAAGACACACACGCACGCACATTCACACACTCACTCAGTGTCCTGTTAGAAATTCAGCGCCTTGGCAGAAAGATTGCTTCAAGAAATCTGAAGCGAAGTGAGGTTGATTTTCACCACATTGTAAGGATCATTTTCAGATCAATCCATATTCCTGCCCTTTTTCAGGATTTGGTTCCAAATTAGCAGTTAATTCCTGAGCTCACAGGATCAGGGAAACTTTCCACGTTTGTCAAAAATGACACAGGCTATATTCAGCTCAGCCCAGTGGTGAAGCAGGGTTATTGAGTGGTACTTTAGGCCCCTTTGATTATAGAGGGGGAGAATCAGTGCAGGTACCTTCTCATGATCAACATTCAGGACATCATTTGGAGGCTGACACCATGTTGTCCTTGCTATAGAGCCAGAATTAGTTCATGTGCAGAGATTGTGGTGTAATGGTAATGTCACTAGTGTAGTAATCCTGTGGTTCAGACTAATGATCTGGGAACAGGGGATCAAATTCATCATGGCTGTTGGTAGTATTTAAGTTCAACTAATGAATCTAGAATGCAAATATGGTTTTGCTGTTTACAAAGGATAAAAATAAAATGCAATTACAGGCCAGTTAATCTTACTTTGGTGGTGGGAAAATTGTTAGAATCAATCCTAATAGATCAGATAAACTGTCACTTAGAAAGGCATGGACTAGTTAGGGATAGTCAGCATGGCTTTGTTAAGGGGAGGTCATGCCTCACAAATTTGATTGAATTCTTTGAGGAAGTGATAAGGAGGATCAATGAGGGTAGTGCACCAGATGTTGTCTATATGGACTTTAGTAAGGCATTTGGCAGGGTCGCACATAGCAGACTGGTCAAAATGGTTGGATGCAGGATAATGTGTTGAATTGGATCCAAAGTTGGCTTAGTAACAGGAAACAAGATGTAATGGTCGATGGCTCCTCTTGTGAATGGAAAGCTGTTTCACGTGGTGTTCTGCAGGATTTGGTGTTCGGATCCCCTGCTTTTTGTTTTATACATTAATACTGTGGAATTGAATGTGGGGACACAATTGGGGAATTTGCAGACGACACAAAAATTGGCTGCGTAGTGGATAGTGTAGAGGATAGCAGTAAGCTCCACAATGATATAGATGGGTTGGTGGAGTGGGCAGGTAAGTGGCAAATGGAGCTCAACTCTAATAAGTGTGAGGTAATGCATTTCAGGAGATCAAACAGTAAAAGGGAATACACAACAAATGGGAATATACTGAGATAAGTAGATGAAGTAAGAGATCTTGGCATGCAAATGCACAGGTTCCTGAAGGTAGCAGAACAAGTAAATAAGTTTGTAAAGAGACATAAGAAATGCTCTCCTTCGTTGGCAGAGGTATAGGATACAAAAGTAGGGATGTAATGATGAAACTGTACAGGACACTGGTGAGGCCACGACTGGAGTATTTTGTGCAGTTCTGGACGGCACATTACAGGAAGGACATAATTGTTCTGGAGTGATTGACCAGAATGTTGCCAAGGCTGGAGAATTGTAGCTATGAGGAGAGACTGGAAGAGTTGGGATTGTTTTCGTTGGAACAGAGAAGGCCAAAGGGGTGATATGATTGCAGAATACAAAATTGTGAAGAGTAGAGTAGACAGAAGTAACCTGTTTCCTTTGGCAGAGAGTTCAAAAACTAGGGGTCACAGATTCAAGCTGTTCAAAATCATGAGGGATATGGACAGAGTGGATAGGGACAGACTGTTCCTATTGATGGAACAATCAAGAAGGAGAGGGCACAGATTTAAAATAACTGGTGAAAGAAGCAAAAGTGACACCAGGAAATGTTTTCACATAGCAACTGATTAGCATCTGGAATGTACTGTCCAATGGCCATGTTGCCTGTAATTTTTTCTTTCGCTGCATGGAACTCCCACGTCCCAGCATAGCAGTGATTTCTAGAACCAGATGTCAATCGGTCTGCATGCCAATGCATGTTGCATAACTGGGCCCTCTGAGCAGCTGCATGGCCTGAACATTGCCTGACTAAGAGGTGGAAGTAGAATCAATTGAGGCTTTTAAGTGGTAATTGGATTATATTCAGAGGAGAAACAACTTGCAGAGCAAGGGGGTAGAGACAGGTGGATTCACTCAGTAAGCTTCCCTTAGAGAGAGATAGAAGTCAAAATGGCTGAGTTTGTAGAGCGTTAAACTGAAGATCTAAAGGTTGCAAGTCCAATTCTGGGTTTCGGCCAAGTATGTAGAGAGAGATGGAGTGGATGCCTGTGGTGTAGTGGCAGCTTTTCTATCTACGAGTCACAAGGCCAGAGTTCAAGTCTCACCTGTTTCAAAGGTGTGTCATAACGTCTCTGATCAGACTGATTAGGAAATATTTATTGCAGTTGCTTAATCCCCAGAATCCATTTGTCTGATGAGCCATGTACGAAAACTGGAATCCTTAGAAAATTGAACTAACTCATATGTTACTAATCCTGTGTGTGAGATTGTTGAATTTGCATAAAAGAATTAGAGAGTGATGGATCGGACTCATCTGGTGCAGTGATAGTCTCCCTCCCTCTGGACCAGAAGGCCTGGGTTCAAGTCCTACCTGCTCCAGAGGTATGTAATAAAATGCTAAACAAAGAACTGCAGATTCTGGAAATCAGAAACTGGAAAAACTCGTCAGGTCTGGCAGCATTTGTGTAGAGAAAGCAGGGTTAACGTTTCGGGTTGATGGAGTTCTGAAGAAGGGTCACTGGACCCGAAGCATTAACTCTGCTTTCTAGCCACAGATGCTGCCAGACCTTCTGAGTTTTTAACAGCAATGTCTGATTTTGTGTGCTTGTGTAATAAAATATCTGAACAGGATTGATGAGAAATAATCTAAACAGAACACAGTTAGGATCTGGATTGCACTACCAGAGAGTGTTGCCAAGACAGATTTAGTCATGGCTTTCAAAAAGGGAATTCGCTCCCCTTCCAATTCCATTTTGATTTATCTCCTTTCCACTCTCCCTTTTTCTCCCTGCTCTTTGATGGTTTACATTGCCCTTAATGGCTTTGCACGCAAATTATTCAATTGGAACCAAAAGGGTTAAGTCATACAGAGAGATTAGACAAAGTAGGCCTTTATTCTCTACAATTTAGAAGTTTAGGGGATGATCTAATTGAGGTCATGAGCATATTAACAGGAAAAGATGGTTAGTAGTTGAAAAAAATACATGGTAATCTGGTGATGGAGAATAAAAATGCCTGTTCAGTTGTGTAAGTGCACTTCTGGATATAAAGAAAAAACTGTAGAGAGGTGGATCAGCTGTGCACATAAATTTAATAATCAGAAACACAAGTGATTTTACTGGTGGTGATTAATAGTTGATAAATACCACGTGTGATTTGGTGGTGGGATAGGGATTCAGTCGAATGTGTCTACCGTGTCTTTCCCTGTTAATATGCTCATGACCTCAATTAGATCATCCCCTAAAATTCTAAATTGTAGACAATAAAGACCTAATTTGTCTAATCTCTCCGTATGACTTAACCCTTGAGATCCAGGTATCATCTTTGTAAACCTGTGTTGAACTCCCCTCTAGGCCAAAACAACCTTCCAAAGGTGTTGTGCTCTCAGTACTCTACGTAGGGTCTAATTAGGGTATTATATAACTGCATAACATCTCCACTGGGTGCTTTCCACTTATTACATCCTCCCTCATTGTAGGAATGCTTCTGTTTCTAATCAGTAATGCTACTCCATCTCCTCTATCTTTCCTGTAAATCTTATAAACCCTGGTATGCTTATTTCCCAGTCCTGATCATCCTGCAGCCATGACTCTAATGGCCACTGTATCACTGCTTTCAATTTGAATCTGTGCCTGCAGCTCATTTAATTTGTTCCTTACACTCCATGCATTTTTATAACAAACTCCAATTTTGGCTGTACACTCTATCCTGTCCTTCAGCATCGTTTTATTATTTCTCCCTCCTGGCTTACTCAATACAATTTTTATAGTCCCACTTTGTTCATTAAACTGGCCTTGCTTGTTCATCCTATTAACCTCTACCTTTTCCTCCAATTCTGACCTACTGCTCTGGTTCTCACCCCACCGCTAAACTAGTTTAACCCCTCTTGAGTAGCACAAGCAAACATCCCTGCAAGTTTACATGTAACCTGCCTTTTTGTACAGGTCCTACCAGCCCTGGAAGAGATCCCAATGATCCAGATATCTGAATCCCTCCCTCCTGCACCAGCTCTTTAGCAACGTACTCAGCTGTACTATCTTCCTGTTTCTAGCCTCACTGGCAAGAGACATGGGAACTAATCCTGAGATTACATCCCTGGAGAACCTGCTGTTTAACTTGCCACCTAACTCCCCAAGTTCCTTTTGCAGGACCTCATCATCCTTCCTGCTTATGTCGGCAGTTCTAATATGGACCACGATCTCTGGCTATTCATCTTTTCCTTTCAGCATGTCCTGTGCCTGCTCAGACATGACCTTGACACTGGCACCAAGGAAACAACACACCATCCTGGAGTCTCACGTAAGCCGACAGAAATGTTTATCTGTGCACCCGACAATAGAGTTCCTGACTACCACTGCTTTCTCAGTATTGACTTCCCAATAGCACAGTGCTCCCTCAGTACCGACTCTCCTACTGTGTAGTATTCCCTCAGTACTGATCCTCCAATAGTGTAGCACTTCCTCAGTACTTATCATCTGCCAGTGCCATGGTCCCTCTGTATTGACCCTCGTATAATGTAGT